CACACACAGCCTCCTCCTGCTGTGACACACACAGCCTCCTCCCGCTGTGACACACCTCGGCCACAGGCAGAGCCACAGCTGCCACACACAGCCTCCTCCCGCTGTGACACACACACCACGGCCACAGTCAGAGCCACAGCTGCCACACCCCACGGCCACAGCAGGGTTGAGCTACTCCTGGGGACAGACGCTTGTGGCTGCGGATGAACCTCGGCACGCTTGTGGCCATAGCACCGGGAGGCTGTGTGGTCAGGGGTAGCCAGGAACACACAGAAACTATAAAGACAGGATCACAGGGTTCTGTCCAAGCCAGACTGATAGACTTGGCCTCATCAACCCCCTAAGGCGGGAAAGGATGCGGCAGTCTCTGGCCTGAGAGGAGCCAGGGCTTTGGTGGCGACCAGGCTCTCCCTGCGGCCTGGCGTGCCAGCACCCAGCCCAGGAGCCTGCAGCAGCCAGCGGGCCCCTGCTCCCGCAACCATGTGTGACCAGAGTGCAGCGATAAAGAATGCAGACACAGCTGGGAGAGACGCAACAGGACCGAGTCCCGGACTGTGCTACCCGGCACTGGTCAAGTGTAACGCAGAAAAGGAGAATGTTGCCACCCAGATCTTTCTTCTTTCTATCTTTTTTTAATGTTGCTTTTTTTGATTTTTGATTACAGGGTTTCTCTGTGTAGCCCTGGCTGTCCTGGAACTCACTGTGTAGACCAGGCTGGCCCTGAACTCGGAGATCTGCCTGCCTCTGGCCGCTGTGTGCCGGGGGTGAAAGGCCTGCCCCAGCACACACGTCATTTTTCTTTTTCTAAGTGGGTTTGTTCTTTTGTTTTGAGGCAGGGTCTCACCCTGCAGCTCATGCCGTCCTTGAGCTCAGTTTGCTACCCAGCTGGCCTAGAACTCATGCTCCTCCTGCCTGGTTCTCAAGGGCCATAGTCACAGGTGCCTGTCTCTACCCCCGGCCATCAAGGGTAGCTTAGCTGTCAGTGGTCTTTGCTGCTCTTCTTACCTATGTACAGTTCTGTTACCTGGTGACATTGTTAAGAATAATGCAAAACATTTCTAAGGCAACGATTTCATCTCAAAAAAAATAAACATAGCAAATTTTAGTTATGTAATTATATACTGAACAAAAATTTTCTGAAATAACAATTCATCTAAACTTTTCTAAAACTTCTCATCAGAAATGGTATCCAGTGTATATGTATGTATGTGTGTATGTATGTGCATGTGTGTGTGTTACCTATGTTTTGAAAGTAGAGACTAAACAAGGAGCAGAGTGGGGGTAGGCAGCTGGAGGGGCCTCTTGGCTGTCCCCGCCCTCGCCGGCCCTGCTTACCCCGTTCTCGGGCGTGGCCAGGATGGAGTAGAGCTTACAGAGCGAGATGATGCCGCTGTACTCAGGCACGGGCACCAGCTCGTTGCAGTTGTCCTTCTTGAAGCTCAGCATCTTGTTGATGAACTTGTCAAACATGCGCTGGAGGGGCTCCACTTCGGCCTGGGGGACAAGCGGGGGCCTCGCCTGCTGTGCACCCACCGCCCAGGCCCTCCCTGGTGCCCCCGGCCCCTCCCGGCCCCCCAGCTCCCCAGCTCCCCCTGGCCCCCCAGCTCCTCCCCGCCCCCTCCAGCCCCCCCGCCCCCTTCTTACCTTCGGCCTCTTTTCCAGCCAGGACTGAACATAAGGCTTCCAGCCCAGGTCAGCGTAGTCCGTGTAGACCATCCCGCAGCGGGACACGGTGGCCGGGGAGGCCACCGCCAAGTTCTCCACTTCAAACAGGAGAGACACCTAAGCGGACAGACAACCGTCCGTCACCTCCGCGCCGCACCACGACCGAGGTTTAGAAGCGGCTGGCCTTCCGTGGGGCTCTGACTGGTCCACACAGGCTCACATATGTGAACTTGGAGTCCCCCAGAGCCTTGCTGCTTGAGGGGGGCTGGGGGTTAGGAGGTGCGGCCTTGACGTTCTCACTGGAGGAAGTGTGTCCCTGGAGTGGGCTTTGAGGTTTCAGAAGCCCATGCCAGGCCGGGTCTCTCTGCCTCTCTGCCTTCAGGTCAGGATAGGGCAGGCTCAGCTCCAGCGCCCGCTCGCCCGCCACCACCATGCTCTACCATTGATGGCGGTGGTGGCATGCTCGGCTTCAGCTCCAGCGCCCACTCGCCCACCACCATGCTCTACCATTGATGGCGGCGGTGGCATGCTTGGCTTCAGCTCCAGTGCCCGCTCGCCCACCACCATGCTCTACCATGACTAAATGTCTGAGACTGTAAGCAAGGCCCCTATTAAGTGCTTTTCCTTGTAATGGTTGCCTGAGTCCCGGTGTCTCCTCACAGCACGAGAACAGTGACCAAGACACTTTCCAAAAGAAATGTGAGCTTATTCGAAATTATTCTTGGGAAAAACTGCACTCTGGCTTGCGTGGAAGGAAAGAGAGGGCCATGGGTATGTGGTTAACCATGGGATTTGTGAATTAGAGGCAGGGGGAGGAGGATCAGGAGCCCAGGCTTTCCGTAGGCCAGCCTGGGCTACGTGAGACATGAAAGAAAGAGAGGGAGGAGGGGAGGAGGGAGGGAAGGCCAGGAGCGAGGGGTGGACGTGAAGAAGAGGGGGCGTGGCACCCCGAGGTGAAGGCCACACCTCACAAGCCGAGGGAAGGAGGCCCAGGTCAGCCTAGGTCTACACAGTGATGTCTACACGTCAAGCTCTTCGCTGTACAGTTGTTCCCTGGTAGCAACGGGACCCCCTGCCTCCTCTGCCGGGCCTGGAACCGGGGCCAAGGCCAGGCACGCTCTCCCCAGGACCCCGCTGCTGGCCTCGAAAAGCGCTTCGAGAGTCCAGACCCGCCCGGCATCCGGTGGAAGTGGCCCCCAGCTCGCCGGCCTCCCCACCCGCGCCCCTCGCCCCGGGATCCCTCGGCGCGGTGGCACCTGCTCGGGCATGGCGATGCGCTCCCCGTTGATGAGAGTCAGCACTTTGTTGTCGTCCATGACGGAGTTCATGCTCTCGATCCACAGCGTGTCCACGGGGCCGTCGAAGAGGATCCACTTCTCGTCTGGCCTCTCGTCTTGGTGGCGGGGAACAAGGGAGCCAGGCGTCCCTCTCCGCCCTGCGCCCCTGGCAACCCCTCCCCTCCTCCCGCCCCGCGGCCCGGCGGGCACCTGCGCACGCCACCCGCATGACGCTGGACAGGACGCCGTCGGTCCACTCGTTGGTGCTCAGGTCGTACTCCCCGTACAGCTCCCCCAAGGACAGCGCCTTCGGGTTCAGGGGGAACTCCTACGGCGACAGCAGCCGGGACTTGTGGGGCGCCTGGCCCAGACGCCGGCCATCCCAGCGCTGGCTCGGGTCCCTGCTGGGCCTCCCCGGGCCTCCACCCCCTGGCCTCCCCGGCCTCCCCCGGCGCTGCACCCCCGACCTACCTTGACGATGTTGAAGTTGGGCTCCCCGGAGCGGCACAGCGAGGTCAGCGAGGCCTGTAGGATCTTCCAGGACGTGGTCTTGCTGCTGCCTGTGCCACCCACGATCATGGTGGAGTGGCGGGAGTTCTTGGTCTCGTACAGCTGTAGGACCTTGGTGAGGGTGAACGGCGTGACCTGCAGGCCCAGCTCCCGGGTCTCCTGCTCGATGGTGTCCCGGAGCTGGGGAAGCCCAAGAGGGGAGAGTCACGCCGGGCCTGGGTTCAAATCCCCAGGACCCACACGAGAACCTGGCCATGCTGCACAGGCAGAAACAGGGCCGCGGCGCTGGCGAGCGGCCGTGCCCCAGGAGAGAGAGAGAGAGAGAGAGAGAGAGAGAACACACGCACACACATGCACACGTGCGGGCAGAGGACACTCGGGTCCAGGTCCGGCAGCCTGGCTTCCTAGCTTTCAGCTTGCTAATTTTTGAGTCATTTTCTCTTGGAAGCTCCATCTCTCCGTGTGTACAATGTCTAACGTCACTCTGCACATTTTTTAGCATTATTCAACAGGCATTTAGTGAATGTGCAAAGTACTAGAGATACAGTTGGGAACAAAATAACTTTACCATGCTCCGAGACCTCACTGTCCCGGGCTGGAGAGAGGGCTCAGCAGCTGAGAGCTCTGGCGGCTCTTCCAGGGGACCCGGGTTCAATTCCCAGCACCCACACATGGCAGCTCACAGCCATCTTATAATTCCAGGAGATTCTACATTCCCTTTTGGCCTTTGTGGCTCCAGGCGCGCACGCACGCGCACACACACACACACACACACACACACACGGTACATAGATACACACGCAAACAAAACACGCATACACATAACGGTAAATTAATTTAAAAAGTCCTTTTAGAGTAGCCTGGCAGTGGTGGTATGAGACTTCAACCCCAGCCCTCGGGAGGCAGAGGCAGGAGGATCTCTGTGAGTTGGAGGACGGCCTGGTCTACAGAGTGAGTTCCAGGACACCCAAGGATATACGAAGGAACCCTGCCTTAAAAACTCAAAAAAGTACTTTCAGATTACAGAAAGTTGTGCAACTCCTTAACTAGACGCTTCAAATGCTGACATCCGTGTGACTGTGCTCAACAGAAAGAAGCAACATAAAAAAAAAAAATCCAGGTTTTGTTGTAGCTGTTTGAGACAGGGTCTCTCTGTGTAGCCCTGGCTGTCCTAGAACTCACTCTGTAGACCAGGCCGGCCTCCAACTCACAGAGATCCTCCTGCCTCCACTTCCCAAGTCCGGGATTAAAGGTGTGCAGCCACCATCACCCTAATATTTTTATTTTTAGAGACACAGTCTTACTCTATAGCCCAGGCTAGCCTAGGCTAGCCCATTATGTAGCCCAGGCCACCTTCAAAGTCGTGATTGTCCTCTGGCCTGCCTCGCCTCCTAAGAACCGAGATGACAGGCACCAGCCCACACTTGTTATGTTTTTCTGTGCATTGGTCATTTTCTCCCCACACGATGTCCCCCTTGCTTTTTAAGATGGTTTCTTCCTATAAGCTTGCTTTAGGGATGGCAAGAGGTGAGCGAAATTCCTTTAGATAACTAATCAATTGAAAGGGTCTGTCTGTTTCTCCTCAGAAGTCAGCCAATTTAGCTACAGTTCTCAGTGCGTATCATTAAGTACAACCAAATTAGATCAGTTCCATCTTCCTGGCGGATCGGAACCCTTGTTATCATGAACCCTCCGTTTCCAGTAACGCGGTGTGCCTTAAAAGCTACTCGGTCTTTTGGGGACCCCTAGCTTTCTCTAAGTCTCAAGCACTGTAAACTCCACCAAGCATTAACACATGGAGAGGACCTTTCCCTGAGGCTGCGACAGTGAGGCTCACCTGGTCTCCAGGATGCTTATCACCGACCTAACTCCAAACCCGTGGTCAAGGGTCTGGGAATGCCTGCTGCATCCGCCAGAGTTTCTTTTACAAGCTTGCCTCTGAGGCCTTTGGGTGTGGCTTTCATTTTTTAACGGATTTTAAATTTTTGTTTTCTGAAGTGTTTGTCTCTTGGCTCTTTTCCTCCTTGACAACGAGTGGGACAGTTTCCTTGTTTGGTGTTTTAAAATGTCACCTGGCAGCCCACTCTAAGGTGGTTTTAGTCCACGGTTATGTGAATTCTCCCTCAGCTGTTGGGACTCCGTCCCTCCATTCCCACCCCCACCCTGCCCCCAAAGACAGGGTTTCTCTGTGTAGCCCTGGCTGTCCTGGACTCTTTGTGACCAGGCTAGCCTCAAACTCACAGAGATCCGCCTACCTCTGCCTCCTGAGTGCTCGGATCACAGGCGTGCGCACCCACCTTCCGTTTTCTCTCTTCCTAATTTGGAGTGATTCTAACATTATCTTGCCTAGGTTTTTCCTGTGCATCCTGTCTCTTCATCCTTTGTCTGATGTCCTTTCTGCCATAGTGCTTTCTTTAGGCATTTCATTAGAATTCTGTTCTCTGAGAGTTCTGTTAGTGGCTCATTTGCTTTAGTCTGGGTGGGGTCTTGGTGGCCCCGGGCCGACCTGAATGCACAGATGCAAACTGCCATCCTCTCTCGAGCACCTGTGTCTGCAGGTGCCCCCTAACTCCTCCCTGGGCCATTGTTTCCACTTGCTCATTCCTGTTTACCTGGGTTTCTTTTGTTAGAGAACCCAGGCCAGCAGGTAACAGATCCTGTGTAGATAGGTCCTAAAGCCAGACTAGGACACACACACACACACACACACACACACACACACACACACACACCCCGCACGGCACGTTGGGGAGGTTCCGTCTGGGTCACACATTAACTAGGCTCCATCTCCTGTCAAGAGAGTGTCTCCTGGCATGAATGGCATGTGCCCACTCCCCCACTTGTGTCATGGACCGCAGGTTACAAACTGACCACGCCTGCTTCCTGGGATACCCGGCTGCCCCTTTTCTTGGAAAGCCTTAAAAAATAGACAACTTGCGTCTTCCCTCAGAACTGATACTTTCTTTCAGACCCTTACCAGACTGTCTGTTGTCCTGGATTAAAAAAAAAAAAAATTAAAAATCTGCCAGGCTTGGCAGTGCACGCCTA